GCAATGCGTGAAGTATTCAGACAGTCTTGTAGGCGCTATGCGTTTCACGCCGACCGCTGCTGAACGCACTGTGTTGGACGCAATGCGTGAAGTATTCATGCATTCTTGTAGGCGCTATCCGTTTCACGCTGACCGCAATGACCGCACTGTGTTTGATGCAATACGTGAAGTATTCGTGCAGTCTTGTAGGCGCTGATATGTGTTACATGACGATCGCCGCGCCGATGGCTTCTCCTTTTCATCTCAAGTCCTCGTCATCATTGCTCTCTGCGCCGCGCCGTTCCAGGCCGAATTGCGTGTTTGGTTTCTCTCTTAACTCGACTATTTAAAGGTGCTGTCTCTTGTATCAATGAAAGACGACAAAATTAAAAATTACTACACTCTCAGGAAATGAGAGATTTTGTCGCCTTTTCTCGTTTGTAATTTTGTTTTCTAAATCCGATATTTTTTTATACTTACATTTAAAAAAATTGCAAAATTTGCCGCCCTCTAGATTTGCCGCCATGGGTCGCGGCCCATGTGGCCACCCCCTTAATCCGGCCTTGAAAAAGATAGTTCACGCATGCTAGACGAAAATAATATAAAAACGTTCATTTAAAAGTTATGAAATATATTGCCCAAATACAAAAGACTGGAAGATTCAAAAGATACAATATATATTCCAAATTTCGAAAAGACTAGAAGCAATGCCACACTAATTTTACCACGGAATTCGAAAGATCTGAATGTTAAGTCATGTGATTGTGATTTTGGATTTTAGTATCCAGCTTGAGGAGTAAACAGTTAATACGTAAATAAATCAGTAAATGAATATTGAAGATGGTCGACCCAATTCAACAAAATATTGCGTTTCTTCCTGGTTCCCAGTATGGTAATAAACTTCGATTCAGCTACCTGGCGCAGGCGCACAGTTTTTCGCACAGAGATGCCATTGTCGGTGTAAAATTGTCCTTTTTCTCGGATTTGCTCAGTTTAATCAAACGTCCATTACAAAAGCATGCCATGGAAGGTGGTGTCCGGTAGGCGTATATTTTATATTATATGATATAAATAATTATGTACAACATAATGAACTAAATAGAAAACAAGGGTTTTTGTTGAAAAGCATACCTCACGTCGCAAATATTCGTTCTTAATACTCAATAACGTTCACACTGCCAAACACCTGCACGGATTCAAATTTTTATTATCTTTATATACAGCTCATATGAAGAAATTTGGCGAAGGAAATGAAATTATGACCGTCAAAAATGCGTTCGGATGATCCGAGGTATGGTGTAACTTTAATTTGAAAATAAAATATCTTTAATGTAAGAGGAGATTCAGATAGAAAGTAAAAGCACACTCATACTTTCATAGGGGTTGTGTTGATACGTGTGTTGGTATTTGTATCTTAGTCTCCAACAGTTGGTCCAAGTATTGCAGTGTCAAAAGTGTCGCTGAAATAATCAGCTCCGGGCAAAACAGCGTCTAAAACGGGACCGTTTATAATCAATCCATTCATTTCGATCATAATCCGGCATGCCGCCCTGCCAAAAAATTTGCGTTACTCTGTTACAGCTAAATGTCATACATCGAAAAAATAACATGCTGCTCTCTGGCATTTAGAGTGTCAGAAATGTGTCCAGTTGCATGTAAAATGTGTTGCATTCTCAGAATGTAAAATGGAGAATTTGCAGGTGTCTAGAGTTTGATGAATTTCGTGTTTATAAGGGGCAACTAATGAGTAAACTGAAGACAAAAGTTCCCTTAGCTCATGAATTAGATAATTTTTGGTGAATTTATGACAACATGATCTAATCTGTTTAAATGCATGTATTTAAATTGGAAAAGCCCCCAGATGACGTCACTGGGCGGTGCATCTCCTTACTTTTAAATTTATTTCGATACTATTTCCAGCGTCAGAAAAAATTATCAAAAATGCAAAATCAGCTCTTTAAGCGCTCTCAGACGAATCAATAAAAACTTTGCGTGCAAATTCTCTATTAACTGCAGGGTCATTGAGCCAGTATCTAGGGATCACTGAACACATTTTTGACATCCATAAGATATCTTACAAATTTATCGTTCCTTCAAGCTCTCTGACCCCAAACATTTTCATTTTTTGAAACAATTCGTTCTTAAAATCTATTGTGCCGTACTCTTTAGTTTTCAATAAACAGGGACCTCGCATGTGTCCGCGTGATTTTTTTTGAACTTCCAAGAGGAACTTAAACTTTCAATCGACAACGTTGGCCACGGAATAATTTCCGATTTGTATTGCAAAATGTGGCCAAAGACCATCTTTGGTCAAATATAGCCGACGCGCATAGTTGCCAGATACCACTGAAAAATCAGCACTTTACCCGTTAAAACCAATGTAAACTATACACTTTTTATCGCACGACCTGGCAACCCTGCCAACGCTGCATCCCGAATCCGGGCCCTCTGCTGCCCGGATTGAGACTGAGAAAAAAATTGCGTAAATCGTGGGATCTCTGACGTAAGGGCGTATCTCAATTTCAACGTGAGCCCTATTTTACATCAAAATCTATACTTTCTGGGGCTCATGCGGTTGTCTAGATACGCCCTTACTTCAGATGAGAGACGAAATAAGGCGAATCCGACGTTTGTCCGCTCGTAATTTCGCGTTGTCTGGCTGACACTTAAACTCGAAACGGACAGTAATCTCCGATCGGATTTGCATAAAATTGGGAATATTCCGAGGGGTAAACGACTCCTCGTGGACCCAGATTGTCACGTTGATCGAATTTCGGCCAGCGGGTCGAGCTTGCCTCAAATGAGAGCCTTGGAGGACAAGGCGCATAAGTGCAGATTTTGCTATTTCGAGGAATACGTGTTTGAAGTTTCGAAATTACATGGATCCTTAAGGCCGAGAGAAAATTCAAACTGACTTTTTGATGCTTAAAAGTTAGAATTGGGGAGCAAATTTTTCACAGAACGTGTATTAAGACTAGTTTTATTTGAAAGCATTTATATCTCAATTTTTTCAAAAACTGCACTTATGCGCCTTGTCCTCCAAGCCCGTAAATGAATATTCGAATTCTTACCTGGAAAAAGCTCTTTTCTCCGCCGTATGATTCTTTGAAATTTCGTACGATTTTGCCATCCAGGTTTTTTCATACCTATATCTATATGCATATCGTTTTTGTAATAATTTTAGGGGCAGGAGCCGATGCGATAGCATGATAACCTAATTTGAGTTTGTGTCTCCGACAGGAGATAGTATTTCTTCCGAAGAAAGTTTACGGTTGCGTTGTTGATGTGCGTATGCTAATTTTTGATTGGTGAGAGAGAGAAAGCAGGTAACAGAAATACTAACGCAGTAGAGGAGAAACTATAGTTTGCAACCCTCTAGATGCGTGTTGAGTTTTAGATAACTGTGGCTGAAAGCTGGAGTATGGTCGATGAAATACAAAAAAAAGCGTTTTAATATCATATAAAAAGAGACAAAACTTTTCAGATCATTAAAAAAACTTTTCCTTTCAAAAGTTGAAATTTCGAATTTGCGGGAAAGCCTACCTTCATTAATTTTTTTGGCATTTCCAAATTTGAGTGCTAAGAATGCAGAGGAGTCAGTCAGTTCACCGCAAGAAAAATGTGCAATGGCACTGGTAAAGAATATTACGACTCTGCAATTATGGAGTCTATATCTTCTGTCTTTAAGAAACTCTTAAAAACGAGGTAATTTTGTATCACCATCGTTTCACTTCTACCAGTAAGCCTTGCTAAAAATACCTGTTATTGGGACTTGTAAGGCTCAGACATTTATTTTCGACCTCAGACAATATTATTACTTCAAAAATTTGCACTGCTTTGATTCTTGTTTTCTTTTAAAAGCTTGCCCTAAGAGCCATGAACGGTGGACGTGTAAAATAAGAAGTACTACTCTTCGTAAAGCCTGAATACGACTATTCGTACTCGATGGATGTCCGTATTGCATATGCAAAAAATGAAGGCGTTTAGCCCCCATCGTTTCTGTCTTACGCACCGCGTTGCTACTGAACAGGATATGCTATTGTATTTAATGTTATGCTAAAGTTAGTACTATTCTAACTCTATGGGTGTGTCTGTTGCATCGTAACAATAAAATAAAGCATGTTGTTCCCTTTTTTAACACCACATCTTGTATGTAGATGTACATGTACATGTACATGCCGCTATGGAACAAGAAGTGTTATTCTGAGTCAGCAGTTTCCAACCTTTTCAGTTTGCGGTCCCCTTATATCGAGAGAACATCAATCGGTAGAATTATACTTCACAAACTAATACAAAAGTAAAACTCGGGAAATCGATCCTTACAAGAGATTATGAGATTTGCCGCTGAAAAACGCATAAAATACGGACGAAACATTTCTAAGATTTTGACGAACTTTAAGGGTTAAATCTGCAAATTTTGCTGTACATTTTTTTACCTACCTCGTCATGTTTGCAGAGGCACATCATATTCATCCCTTGTAAGAACCCATTTCTAGAATTTCACAACTTAACTTTACGTAAGGTTTGCAAAAATTGTCCTTTTCATGATATTATGATTCTCCCTATACCGTACGGTATAGGGAGAATTATAGGGGGTATTAGTCACAATGTCACCGTATTGGACCTCCTAAGGGAAGGGTCTGTTTAAGGAACGGCTGTCAATACGGTCCCTAGGGTTCGTTCCCCTGTACGCTGACATACATCCTACACAAAAAAACACAACTAGTCCCTGAGGACTTTTAGTCAGTACCACCGTAGGATAATAGTTGCAAGATTGTGCTGAATATTCAGCACATTTCTCATTTAACTCAATGTTAAGAATCCAGATCTTTTCACACAAGCCGGCACGACCGCAGGATCCCTCGTCCCTCCGCAGCCCATCCACTCCACCTCCGCCGCATGCGTCCGTAGCCGCTCCGCAACGCATCGCACGGCTACGTTGCGCTGCGCTGCGGCGCGTCCGTAGTAAACGCCTCCCTTCCATAACCACAATCCAATTAGTTGTTTAGTTGCGTCCCGAGCTCCGTGCAAGAGAGACGTCGGCACCTCGCGCCGCGCGCACATGGCCAGTCTGCCTGCACCGACCCCGCATACCTCCGTGTCCTTATCACGTGTTTATATATATTTATCGTGATTTTTATACATTTCGAGTGTATCATCCCCAAGTGTTAAGTGTATCGCGGAATCGAATATTGTCCCGTCGAGTTGCTTCAGCCACAAGGTTGAGATTTCTAATTTTTTTGCGGGGTTTTGAATAATTATCGTTGTTTTGAAAAAGTGCTGGAGGGTATTAAACTTGGTGTAACTCCCCTTAAAAGTGTACTCGGCCCTTATTTTTTCGAATCTAGGCGGTGTCTTCTTTTTGTGTGCGGGATTCTTCAAATTCTGGTTCCTGTGGTGATATTTAATTTATTTATTTATTCATTATTTTTCGAGTGATCGGAGTGTTGATTTGTGCCTGATTCAGTTTCATAAAGCTCCAGCTCTTCTGGGAATCTTATTAGACAGTGCATCTAGAGGATCAGAGGAGAAAAGGTAAGGTATTTAAAATCGGCTCTCTTCGTGTTTTGTATGTCCGCAAATTAGAGGGCGCTCAGGAAAGACCGAGGCATGCGCATGATAAAAAGATGGAAAACAAATTCTAGTTCAGAATTTTTATGAGAGATCTGCGTTTATAATTTTTTACAATATTCAGCACATTTTTCGATGACGTTTAGAGCAATATTTAAGAGCGTGATTTTGTATCATTCACTGTGACATTTTTTGCTTTTTTCTCTCTAAATAGTAGAGGGGAAAATTTTAGGATTTTCAATTTAAATAAACAAATGGAAATATCCACCCCCATTTCTGATGGAACTCCCCCTACCCCCACACTTCAACTCATAAGTTTAAAAAATGTGCAATGCGGGTCCTTCTTTTTTCTTCTATTTCTTTCTTTCTTTACTCCGTAGCAAAACTCTTAGAACGCGAGTGAGAATTGGAGATCACCGCTTGTGAAAAAATCACTGCTTGTCAAAGAATGTAAGTCAAACCCAAACATCCCCCTATTAAAATTTAATGAATAAACGACGCATGAGGAATTTCGTTGCCTTTCGCGAGTGCATTTTTTGCCCGCCCCTGGTGGTTGCGCGCATAATTATTTCGCCTTCAATATTTGAGGTAGGCCATCATTCGTGCATTCACAGTTCGAGGATTTGTGTTTTATTTCTCGAGGATACTTAATGCCCAACTTCACCGGACGATTTTGGTGCGAACCCTGTTTCTCTATTCCAGCCCTGTTGATTGATAAGAAATATATCGTATAAAAATGATGATTACTCTCAAATATCTCTGGGAAAGTATCTCCCAAAGCATATCTGTAGAAAACACTCATGTTGTGAACACAGATTGGAACCGCATACAGTTCTCACAAAGTTTCTTCAGTAGTGTTTCTCTAAGATCCCGGCCACCACCATGTAGGGCTCACGTTTTCATCGTTTTTTTTAAAAAAAATGTCATTGTATTTCCGACTGAAAATGACTCATTTTTGAGTCGAAACGGCTCGGTTTTTTATTAATTGTGTATTTTAGCCTTGTTTCCCGTTTTCCCCCTTTGTTTTTCTACTGTTCCCATTGTCTCGGGCTGCTCTATAAAATTTTGTATCTTTGTTCTCACAAAAGGCGTCCAATTCTAATTAGTCAACATTTTACGACAAGGATCTACTATTTTAGTTTAATTTTAGAAACAAAGTATGTGTCATTAGTTTCCTTGCGCAAATAGCTCGTTTTACGGACGAATCAGAAGTTGTTGTTCCTTTTTGCACAATGAAGTCCAACTCTAATTCCCTGCGGAAGAGGCTTCGCTTACCTCCTTTATGCGGTAACATGCTCATTATTCAGCTCGCTCTGAGTAGTTCTCACCGGTCGAGAGTTTGCGGGACCGGTGTTTTAGCAGTTCTGCCGCACTAAGAAAAAATCGTAGGGCTACGTGTAGCTTCTATTGAAGATACGCGCTTTTACGTGAGTAAGTAGCCATGTGATCAGCCTAAACGCAATGCTTTGTCACATAGTTGCCGGACAATGTGCGGAGAAAAAAACTGCGGTTGAATAATTATAATCGAATTTTGCTGGGTACAGCCCATTACATTTTTTATTCAAGGAAAAAAAGCTGTCGAAGTTGGCCATTCTAATTATCATTGGCATTTAGGACCAAGAAAGAGCGAATTTACCAATTAGCCAATTTTGGCAGAGCAAATAAACCCTTTGGCAGTGCTACGTAGAGAATTTCGATTTCTCAGTCGTGAATCGAACTTCGGGATTCTAACACTGCTCAGAATATTCGGTCTGTTAGACGATCTGTTGGCCGTCCATAAAATGTGTGACACTAAATTTCGGATTTACCCCCCCCCCCCCAATCGTGACGCTTTAATGACGTAGGCCCCTCTTTTTCAACACGCAATGCACCTACACTGGGGTGGCATAATTTCATGATGGTTGAAAAGTTGGATAGTTCATGATAGTCAACGGTGAAATTTGAAATAAAGAATTTAATGAACTTTCAAAAATCTAAGTGATATTGAAAAATATATCTCAAACCGTGGATTGTCAGCCCACGATAAGTAGCCACCAAAATGCTTTTATAACTGTGTTAAACTAATGTTTCCCACATGAAAAAATAACTAAAAAATCTAGTGTTCGATGAAAGAAGTATAGGGATTTCTCAAGTTAAATGGTATTTGTAGTGCTGGTTGCATATCCTGTCCTCAAAATGAATGTTTCATATTACTCAAAAATTCCGCAGATTCGTGATATTTCAAGATAAATTTCATTAAAATCTCCAACCTTTCACAGGTTCCTTGCGTTCCGTACAACCTTGGCATCTCTAAAGATCCCGGGTGCACATCGATTCCCAACGTGCAAAACCACGTATCTCCATTGCAGTGTATTAAAATTCCCCCTCAATTTTATTTTCTCGAGGGGAAACAACCCAATTTTAAAGTTTGAGTAGAATATTCTGCTGACACAGAAAAAAAATCAAGGAAGTTTCCGAAAAATTGCCTCAGTACTCGACTCATTTTCCACAGATAAAATAAAGCACGACCAGGAAGTCTGCAACGTCGCAAACGAAGATACGTCTTTTCGCTATTAAGCCATCAATATTTTGTCGTGTTCAGGTCGAAAGAACGTAACTCCATTTCAAGGTCGCAAAATTGACCCCAAAAATTCAAGTTTTTACTAAAAATCGACCCTCTTGATTATTTCCCAAATGTTGTCTGATTTTTTTTTTGAGATCAGAAGAAATGTCAGGGAAATTCTCAGTTCAGTAGAAATCCTCAAAATTCTCCCGTTAAAAATTCAATTTTTAAAGGGGGAAATTTCGTCGTACCCCTAATATAAGGTCCTAACTCAATTTCTACGTGAGCCCTACTCTCCATATAACTCGATGTTTTCAGGGCTCACGTAGGAATAGAGATACGCCCTTACGTCAGAGGAGCGACGATTTGGCAACATTGGAATGTAGTTACGCTCTTTTGGGAGGAAGACAGTGGCTAGGCATGAATGATCGATTATCGATATTTTTCCATTTGGAGCTACGATAAAGAATCGATTATTAAGGTGTTCGTAGCGAACACCCAGTTTAGCGATCCTCTTTCATAAGTTTAATGGCAGATCAATCGATAGATCGCAAACTACGCCACGGCACACTGGAAATAAAGCACATTGGATCTAGAGTCCAGACTCTTGAAAACATTGACAAGAAAAAATACTCTTGATTCAATCGGATTTTTGCTTGAATCAAAACGAAATCCGCTTAAATTAAGAGGCTTGGTTCTTGATTTAAGCTGGATTCTGATTGAATCAAGAGTACTTTTTCTTGTCAATGTTTTTAAGAGTCTGGACTCTCGATCCAATGTGTTTTTTTTTCCAGTGTACTGGAGGGAGACGACGATTTTCTCCAGTAAACGTGAGGTAAAACTTTGGCTTTCGACGGAAATACGCTCCGATCCGGCTACGCGGGACGTGAGCGGCGTTGATGGCGCGAGAGCGAGTGTGAGAGGGCCTCTTCCGGTGCAGAGCGGAAGTAGACGGAAGCTGGTGAACAATGAAGCTTTGCGACTGCCGGCGGCGTGGCGCGGCGGCGACCGGTAAGTCCGATGTGCGAGGATCGACGCGCAGTCCCAAGCTCCCAGAGAACCAATTATCGCTCCCCCTGGGGCCCCCGAGGGAAGGGGGAGGGCTTCCAGCCCCCTTCGTAATGTTGTCTCTGCCGTGGCAAAGGTCAACGCGCAATCTCTGCTGCCAACTCCAAACTCTCTGTTTGGAGAATGTGACTGTCTGCGGAAGAAGAGATCCTCGGGTTTAGAAGTAATATTGATGGCAAAAGTGTGAAACCACGTATCTCCATTGCAGTGTTTCAAAATTTACGCTCCTATTTTATTTTTGCGAAGAGAAAAAATATGACTCCATAGCTTGATACGCCATTGTTTCGCCTTTGGGCCGTCGATGTATAAATGAATTTTCAGCAAAGGTGCTATGACTGTCGGTTAGATCTCTGACGCAAGAGTCACCGAAATCATTGGAAATTCCTTCATTTCGTCGGATATGGAATTTGATCGCACAGGAGTTTGAATAGTTGCTCGAGGTAAAAGTGAGCCTGCAGCAACGGTGCTATGACTGTCGGTTAGATGTCTGAGCCAAGGGTTACCGAAATCATTCGTTGGTCATCGATAGCCAAAGTGCGGAACCACGTTCCTCCATTGCAGTTTTTCAAAATTTACGCTCCTATTTTATTCTTTCGAAGAGAAACAAGATGTCTCCATAGCTTGAAATTCATGATGAAATGTTCGCTAACAAAGGTGAAAAATCAAGGAAGATGTCAAGATATTACTTGACCAGTTATCAAAATAAAAAAGTATGGCAGGAAAAGTGTAACTTTTGCAAATGGAGATACGTGGCTTTGAACTTGGGCCTTTAATATTGTTATGAGAACAATACTTGTCAAGTCAAGAGTAAAACGAGGGTACAGCACCATCGACAACACTCTTAAGTGAAGAGCCTTTATAGTAAGATTGTGGACATTGAATTATATTAGGATATCTGAGGCCTCATTTGAGACAACCAGAGACCCTCCATTGGATCATAGATGCTTGAAACCACTATTTAGGGTACATTTTATGAACGAAACATTAGTATGTTTATTAAAATAGGTGAATTTTATGGATGAGCTAGAAATAGTGGTTCTAATTCTCAAAATGAAGTCCGCATTAAAGAGAGTTATCGATATCAACACTTTCCTTCAATTTTCTCCTCTGAAGATATTTAACTCAACCTTGACTCGAAAAAAAACTAGTGTACGTCCTACCTTTGCCCGTGGCATCATCATTAAATCTGTTTTTAAGCAGATGAATCGAAACGACGCTCATGCGAAATAAATCGGAGAATATGATTGGAGGAGTTATCCCATCTACAAGCCGGGAATGAGAAAAGCATCAATGGATAGCGATCACTTTTCTTGTTGGCGGCTAATGATGCGATTCAAATTATATCCAAACAAAG